CACCATCAATCCAATTTTAATTAACTTCATTATATGATGCTTTTTTAAAAGAAAAAAAATACATGCTTCACCAATGGCTTTACTTTGCCAAGAATAATTGCATAAATTCGTGTCTCGCATCACGGCATAACACTTCTTCCTCTAAATTTCAATCACAAACATATACCTCCTTCAATGATGAGTTGTGAAAATGGAAAACTAATTCCAACTTGGAATTATTTTAATACACATAATAAATTAAATTCGCAATAACCCTTTAACTAAGACACTATCAATTCAATTTTAATTAACTTCATTGTACGATGCCTTTTTCAATTTTATCAAGGAAAAACCACATACTTCACCATTGGCTTTACTTCGCTACGAATGACCACATAAATTTGTGTCTTACATCACGATACAACACTTATTCCGCCAAATTTCAGCCATATATGTACATCCCCTGCCATCATGAGAAGTGAAAATGAAAAATTAATTCCAATGTGAAATTATTTCAAAACACATATTACATTGAATTTGCAATGACCCTTCAACAAAAACACTATCAATCCAATTTTAGTTAACTTCATTGTGTGATACTTTGTTCACTGTTACTAAGACAAAAACACATACTTCGTCAATTGCTTTACTTTGCTAAGAATGACTACATAAATTCGTGTTTCGCATCACGACATAACACTTATTGCTCTTATTTTATTAATAAGATAGTTTTAGTTAGAACAATTTCTCTTTAGAACTTGAGTTATAAACATGAGAGACCAGATAACTTTCAAGATATATCTATTCTTATTTTCGACTATCCCATTTTGTTGAGAGGTATCAGTACATGAACTTTAATGAACAATTTCCTCATTTTTAAAATACATACCCATTTATTTTTTAAAGTATTTATTTGCGTTGTTTGTCTTCAACACTTATATTTTTATTTCAAATTGAGTTTGAACCATATTATTGATTTTTTGAATATATGACTAACTTTCGTTTTTTTTTTTCATGAAGAATAGTCAGCTATTCTTGTATGAGCATCTACAAGTGATAGAAATCATATATTACCAATGATATTATTGATTCTATATGAACTCCAAACATTACTATGTATCATAACAAATGGTTTAGATCCTCTATAAGACAATGTGAGATATATAATATATTTTAAAAATTTATATATTTTATAATGAAAGTTTTTTGAATTTTTATTTCTAAATAAAAAAGAAAATAATTTTAAAGGTACACAAAATTTAGATATCCAAATCAATAATGTCATAACATAATTGCATAAATTAGATTGTCTTAAAACTCAAAATATAGTGTATCTATCCAAGACTCAAGATATCTACAACTATCCAATCTATTGAGTCTATTATGTCAGTGATATTGGAAGAAGAGAGAGAATTATTGTTTTATAATAGACATACGATTTTTTTTAAGAAGTAACTATAATAATTAAGTATAATATTTTTATTATTAATACATATTAAAATAAGATATTACTAATCCACTCTAAAATAAGAAAAATATTAAAGAAAAAGATTATACATAATATTCTTTGTGCTTATTATACATAGAGTTTATGTGATAATATATACTTAATCAAATTATCAAGTATAACAATCCTACAATAATATTAATATATTATATTGTATGCTTTTAATAGAATTTTTAGAACATACCTTTTTAAATATTTTTTTTAAAAAAAATTATTATTATTTTTTAAATAATCACATTAAAATTTTTGTGTGTGATATATTCATATGTTGTAAGTAAGATATTCAAAAAATATTAAAAAAATAAAATTTAATGTCTAAAATACAATTCGAGACATCACAAGTATATGATATTTTTCATAATTTTCCTTTCTAAAATATATTTATATATATAATGTGCAAATTAAAATTGTTATTATTGAATGATGATATGAAACCCTACGAGGATGTAGTAGAGAGTTTCCTCCATGGGGCAGTTTCTCGTTCTTGCGGCAGAGAGGAGGGCAAAACCGTCATCTTACAAATTCAGAGTTCGGCAACTTTCTCACGAATTACTTGTTCATCGCTCTTTCACCAAAACAAAAAAAAAAAAAAAACAAGAAACAAAACGAACAACAAAATTTTTTCAGTTTGTCAATACCGTTGTCTTATCCCCCATCTCGACGTTCTTAATTTCATCTCTGCCTCTTCTCTCAATCCTTAAAGTTGGCTCTCTCTTTGTTTCTATGCAATGATTTTTTATTTTTCCCTCGATGAAGTGTTGTTTCCTTGCGACGTTCAAACACTTTTCTTTATGCGTCTTTTTTGTGATTTTCGAATATCAAAGACGTCATTAACTGTGACTTGAAATCCTTGCTGCTCTTGTTTGAGGTAAGTTGAGGTTTTATGAGTTCATTTAGTTTCGCCAGATGTTTTACCGTTCACTCTATTTTTATTGTTATTACTGCAATTTGCTTGGAACTAATGACGTCTTAGATTTTTTAGGAGGGGATATTTTAAACCTAATGTGCGTTTAATCTAGGTGGATACTTTTGGTAAAGATAATTGTCTTTATATTAGGATTTTTATCCCCTAGCTTACTTAACGTATCTCTAATTGTTTGTTAAATAGCAATTATGATTCTGAAACTATAACGACGAGTCTTTTTCTTTTTGTTGGGTAGGACACAAATGTTTGTCAGAGAGAATGTGAACTTTTGCCATTTTTAGTCTTAATTACAGTTAGTTACTGATGAGCAAGCTAGTAACGACGTGCATGGTTAAATTGAGTTGACTTTTGGATTTTGTAACTTGAAAACTACAAAAAGACCTCCAATGTGGTGCCTTATCAATTGAAGTAGTATAGTGGAAATTACCTTCCTCCTTGGCTAAAATTTATCTAATTAATTAAATTCTGTTGTAGATACAATGGATTTACAAAACCTCAAGCTTTTACTGTTAAACCATTCATATGATATGTTTTAAACCCTTGATTTGAAAGTGGCATGGGACTATGTAGGTCTGCATTTAAGTAGAAGTACTTTGCTTTTCTTTTATGGATGCTCTCTTCTTACTTTGCAAAAACAAGAGCTTTTTAGATTGGTAACGTGATATGTAATTAGAGTATGGTTAAGGTTCGGTTCTAGAGTACAACACCATAGTTTTAGTTTTTTGAAAGTTTAATCATACCTACTAATAATATTGAAACAGAACTAATTGCAGCTTGTCAGTCCCAGCAACTTATTTGCAGAAAATGGAAAATATGGATATTGATAATTGTGATGAAAGCAACGGAGGCACATCTATTTAAAGGCATAATGGTCTTTCTCTTAGGCCAATATTGCCTGAGGAGCCCAGTGAAGGTTTACCATATGCTCCAGTAAATTTTCCTCAACCAGGAGATATCTGACGCTGGAAGGTGGGGAAAAATGTTGCAAATAATGGTTATTTCTTGGATAGGTATCTGTACCTTCCAAAGCCCCTTTCCCTTTTGGACAATCAATTGGGTACGAAACATATTTTTGCAAGCAAACTTTCCGTTGGAAGATATATTTCCGCAACATTCCCTGATGTGGATGTTGAGGCATTTTTTGCTTCATTTAGCTGGAAGATCCCTTCGAAACAGCTGAAATTAACAAATGGTCAGGTCTAATAAACTCTATTTAATACTAATTTTAATTTAAAAAATTCGAATGTGCATTAGTTTGAATTTGTTCCTTTATGAGTAGATATATCTTTTATTTACTTACTTTCCTGTGAAAAATTATTCTGTCTTTGATAAGTTTTGTCAAAAGATGATGTTGTGGTGACAAATGCTTCTATTTCGTGGTTTTTTCAATCAATTTGTTACTACTTATCATCTATGAGCAAAGTAGATTAAATAAGCTTTAACCTAATTTAGACGACATATCCGCTAAAATTAACCTGATGAACGTGCTTTTCATTCTTGGAAAGACTTGAACTTCCTTGTTTGTATGCTATATTCAAGAGGTTTCTGTAAAATGCTCATAGATTACTATCTAGACCTCCACTATTTAGTAGCCCCTACTATGTGATGTTTCCCTTAAAAGTGTGAATTCATGTATTGAATATTTTGACGTTATTCGCGCTTGTTTCATTTAATTACTTGAATATTTTGTTTTTTCGATGTTGCTTCCTAATAGGCAATGTAGTGGAGCAGACACTTTTTACAATACTTCCTGAGAAGATAGAAGAACTTTCAGTGTCTGATTCCCAGTCTAGTGGTGTGGCCTGCAAGGCTGGAAATAGGGCATGCAATAGTCTGGTGGCTGAAAAAGAAAATCCACTTTGAACTCTCATGCCTTGTGACATTTGCTGTAGTGAACCTCATTTCTGCCATGAGTGCTATTGCATTCTCTGTTGCAAGACCATAAACTTGAAACATGAAGGATATAGATACCTGAAATGTGAGGCAATGGTTGGCTAAGATTACATATGTGGGCATGTTACTCGTGTGAACTATGCTCTTAGATCTTACATGGCTGCAACAATGGGAGGAAGTATTGGATTGGATGCTGAGTGCTATTGCCGGCGTTGTGATTCACGGACAGATCTGGTCAAGCGGGTTGTAGAGCTTCTAGAAATCTGTGAATCAATTAATTCGAGAGATGATGTTGAGAAGGTCTTGAATGTTTGTTTTTGTGTCTTACGTAATTCACAGAAAGGCCGTGTAAAGGAGTTGCTGAACCACATTGAGTTGGCCGCCATAAAGGTAAAGTCACTGTGCTTGTTTTCATACTTAAACGAACTTTCTCTATATTTTTCCAGTGATCCCTGTACCTAGTATTAATTATCATTGATATTTAAATCAGTTTAAATTCGAAACATCTCTAGAAGATATCTGGAAAATAGATGAGAGTGACTAAACTGCTTGCACAGGTAATTTTCTTTCATATTTACAGGATCAATACAATTTTAATTTATTAAACACTTTCTTTTTGGTGCAAATGCTGTATGATGACATAATAATTTGAAAGTACCTTGTGTTTGTGAGCTGCACACATACACTTATGTGATGATGTGTACACGTATCTTTTGGGTGTTCCAGTAAGGAAAATAATCTTCTATGCAAATGCATGTGCTCTTCTGTCCAATAAAGTTGAGCACTAGAATCATGATGTTGAACCTAGATCCAGTTGGTGAATTCTTTTGCTGTGCTTGTAGTGTTGTGTGGAGGGAAATCATCTTTGTGCAAATGCATATGCTCTGTTTGGAGTGGATATCAAATCCCTAAACTAGCTACACTAATGAGATAATCAGTGATGTCTCATTGAGATCATAAAAGTGAAAACCATGCCTGAGATTAGCCTATGAGTTTGGTGTTTTGGTGGAGCTGTAGGGGAGATGTATGTTTTTCTTGCATGTGGTAATTAGGCTAGCAAGGACATCAGATATCACCAACATAACAATAGTGCATAGCAATTGTTTATACTCTGACAGTGAGGTAATCCATATAGATATCAAAAAGTTTTCTGATATTGACGAGGCTTTTTCAAAGGTGGACACAACTTGTCATGGACTTTGTTTTTGGAAGCTTAAGATATTTACCTTCAAGTATCTGTGGTGAGAAGAGACTAGTAGAAACAATGTGGTTTGCTCTCTTTTTCTTTACTTGGTAGCAACTTAACTTGGCCACTCGTGTGACAATTCAGTGGTTGACATCTAATCATGCATTAATTCCATGTGTTAGAATTCAGGTTGGCTTGAGTTAGAGATGCGTGTTTTCTTCAATTGATTTGTTATTTGTGTCTCCATGGATGGTGAAACAAATTTAATGACAGGTGATAGCCTAGATGCTGACAAAAGACAGTATCTAGTGTTTTGCTTGTGCTGTTTTTTGCGTCAAATTTGGCTCAACTCTCACTCAATTTTTATTCGATTTCTAATTCTATATTCACAATCTTAATATTATTTGCAATTGAGTTACCTTTCAACATGGAAATTGAATTCTCTCCTTAAGAATTCAAGATGGGAATAGAGCAGGTAACTCGAATGCGAAAATTGATGTTGAAGTTAAGTATAACCAAAATTAACATGATAATTAGGATTGGCAAGTAATTAGGAATTGAATGGAAAATGAACCAAATGAGACCTCAAGGATTTTTTCTCTTTTTACTCTTTTTCCCTAAAACATTTTCTAGCTCGCATACGGTGCAGGCTTTGCATCATGCGTGTAATCCCTCATCTCTCTTCTTCTAGATTGATTTATCATCATTTTATTCCTTCCTTTTCGTCTATTAACAGGAGCTCATGATGGAGAGACCACACTGGACGCGAAGCACCAAGGCTCTCTGGACTTACCATCAATTTTCCATATACCTATCAATTATCAGAATGAATCACAGAAACTTGGGAATGAAGTTTATCATGTTCTTCAAGCACTAAAACATTCGTAGGAGACTGAATATAAAATTTCAGACGAAAGGTTTTTTTCTCAGCAGAATTACCTTAATAATCTGTATCAGCAACCTGAGCAAGAGAAGGCTGAATTGTCACACTGCAGATCAACTGCTGGAGCAGATGACTTACCAAGTACTTTGTTGAAGAGATCTGAACAGATAATATGCAAGGTCAAGAAACTCAAGGAAATGGAAGAAGTGGCCAAGGGATTTGGAAGAACCTCTAAAGGTGTTCTGAAGGAACACTTTGGTCTGGAAAGTGGGGATTGATTAACCTTTTTCTGTTATGATGAACCAAATTTGTCAGCTTTTACACCCAATTTTGCAGCTGAACTTATCAACCAATCAACCATACATTTTCTCAAGTCTAATCCTCTGGTGGTTGTCTGAGAAAGCATTCGCACATGCCAACTTTGACATCATACAGTAGATGATGGAGGTTAGATTAGTTCACCCAAATGCATCAGTGATTGTGCTTATTGAAGCTAGTAAGCTCAGATGTGAGATTAAAAATAATGGAAGAGGTTGATATAAGCTGTGCAAAGGAATACTTCTTGAGAATTATTGGCTTAGAAATTGGCACCTGAAAAATTCCACCTTACACTAATTGATCATGATTTGAAATGGTGTTACCAACATACTTTTGTACAGCCCGCAAACTATTTCCCCTGGTGAATGTTGAAGGAAGTAGAATGCATGAATGTGTTTAAATTTTCTTGTTTGACAGTTTGGAAGTTTGGGTACCAAGCAACCTAACTGTTGGTTGTTTAGTGTATAGTTGCTACCATGCTATTGATAAGTTGCTTGGTGTTTTTGCATGATCTGACGAGCTATTGGTCAGAACTGCCAGAAACTCTGGTCTGTTATGAGCAATTCATTCAATGAGTTACTGTTCAGAACTGCTAGAAATTGTGATTTACTATGAGAAATTCATTCAAGGAATATATGCCCCTTGTATGACGATTTGGTCATAATTTGGTTTTGATTGATTGCAAAAGTTAAATAGGCTGTGATTCTGAGGATTATTCTATGCGAACATTGTCTATTCTTAAAGGCCAAGACATATGATGACGGACTTTTCTATTTGTTGTTAATCAGATCTATAATGAACAAAAATACCAACAATAATAGGAAAATCATTCCAAATCTTTGCTCCATTGTATTTGGCAGTTGGCACCTAAAAGTTTTATATTAAGACAAATATGAAATTTACCCACCAATGCTTGTCCCCCGCTAACTGGAAAACCACGACATTATTGATATGTCATGCAGTGGCCGATAGGTTAACCAACATCACCAACAAATAGATAATGCTATTATTTGAAATGCTGCAGAGAGTAGTACAGGTGAATCCCAAATAACTTGAGTGTCAGGAAAAGAATTTTTGTCCTGATTTCTTTGTGGAAAAACATGAACTACATAACCAATTATTAAAGAACAAATAAGGGTCTGATCTTCTGAGGTAACAACTCTGTACCTGCATATAAACGTAGGGAAATATGTACTTTTTCTCTTTGTGGGAAATAGTTCTGATGATCATAACCTGTTCCACAACCAGAAACTACTTTTCTGGGAAAGTTTGACCATGATAAGCAGCAGTTCAGATATATATATATATATATATATATATATTATTGTTTTCTCTTTACTCACAAATACCACGCAAAATCTTGAAAGATGATGATCTTCGGCAAGCAAAATGAATACAGGAACAGAACTCATCATTAGCAATCTTATGGAGATTGGTCTCTTTTATATGTAAATCTATTCTTTTTTTCAAGAAGAATCTCTCTTAAACAAAATATAGACAATTCACTGCCAAAGTTCTGATAGTTAAACGCAATTAGATCAATCACAGAATTATTGCAACTTCTCATTCCATAGTGGTTAAAACCGGCAATCATCAAAAAATGTCAACAGAAAATTACTGATGCTACTTCACTGGATTTCAGACCTTCAGAAAATACCCAAAGTTCCTTGCCATTTTAATGGGTTCCAAGTTTTTAGGAAAATTTAACCTAAACATACAGTGTTTATTTTTCCTAACATCTCAATACAGCTTTCCTATCAAAATTCTTAATGGATTTTCAACTGAACAAAAAAAAGAAACTAGCTTTTCATTAGACTCTTTGTTAAAAAAGAAAAAGAAATGGGTAGCTTGGGTTATCTAGACATAAATAATAATATGATTTGATAGAAGAAAAAGAAGTGCAGAGCACATAACGGACTATAACTGCGAATAAGAGAACATAAACTCAAGGGGAACAAGTTGCAGACAGGACCCACTACTTATTCTGCATATACATCTATACATATATTTCATTTTCCTTTTAGATTGAGATGGTCGGAACTGAGAGACATGGTTGTGTAGCAGTGAATAAACTCACCAAGTAATAAATCACTGATATGATGGCTAGTAGGCAAGCTTAGGATTACATCCACAATATCTTCAGGATAGAGTAAAGGAGTAAAATTTGAAGATATGTATATCCAGATATGACAATCACTATACTGATATTCAATACCTTTATTGCGAGATTTAACATATTAACTGAATAGAAACCTAAACCAGAATTAGGAGATATCCAACAGGATAAATCTGATATGGTCAACCAGGAATAAAGTAAATCATCAAAAAAGATAAGTTATGACAAGAATTCATCAGCGGATAGCAGGAATAAAGGACTAAAAAGAGTACTAACATAAAGTAGTTTAATGATAGCCTTCAAAAACTACTGAATAAGTAATAGGAAAAAGCAAATGAAATATGTGGGTCCAAGGTTAAATGGACCTAGTGGAGAGAGCAGAAGCATATATTCTTAACCATGAAGTTATATGAGAACCAGTTCCTGGAATCAAAACAGGAATAATGCTGCCGATTTACCAAATTATTGATTTCAACTTCCTCAAGTGGTTGGAAAAGGTTCAATTATCTAGGAGCACAGTGAAATAGCCACAAAAATTTAAATCTAAGACTTGTAAACACTTGCAAAAGGCATATAGAATCTCCACTATCATATCAAATTCAACCTTTGAAAAAACCAAAACAACAGACTTAATATTCGTTAATATGAGAGCTCTTGCTAATAGTCTGCAACAAAACATCAAAGCATAAACAAGGTAGAGAGTCCTACACAACCATCTGCTCCAAAAACCATATGCGAACGTGAGTATTATGAGTTTAGAATCCTTATCTATTCTATATCAATACTAGCTTAAAATTCAGAAGATTATCTATGACCTAACCGAAGACAAAATATAACAAAAAAGCATGCTCACTAAGAAACAAAAACAACATTTTCAACATTTGTTGATTCAAGAACAAAAGTTTAAGCATTACAATTGATAACATAGTTCCAACAACACCAACCCTGCAATCAAAAAGACAAGTGACATACTGCTAGACCATCTTATATATCACTGTACAAGCACAAGCCTATTATTTCCCATACCTCCTCTAAATTCCCTGTTACCACCACCACCACCAGCGGACGCACCTTCCTCCTCCGAATCCTCTATCCCCACTCCCTTTGGCACCGTTACTACCAGCTCTCCGTCCTCGTAAACTGCACTGGCGAGCTCCGGACGTGTAGATTCCGGCAAGCGGAACCGCCACATGTCCAGTTCCAGTTCATCCAGAGAAGAAAACTCGACAGACCCGTTAGCTCGAACCACGATTTTAGTAACCCCAGGATGAATTTCAATCGTGTAAGCCCTTACGTCACCAATACCATCGGTCTCGACGACGAACTTGAAGTATTCGGGACTCTCTTCGACGGACACGTCGGCGTCGGACCTGAAGGGAAGCTCGAGGACCCGACTGAAGATGTGGGGCAACCGCCGAAGTTTCTTGTGGGACCCACCGGTGATGGGTTGTCGGGTCTGGTGTCTGGGTGCGAATTGGATTGTGATGTTCCTCTTCTTGGGCAATGGGTGGATTTTCATTTCTTTGGTTCCCAGTTTTTCGTCAGCACTGGAAGCAGCAGCGAAGGAAGGAGAAAAGAAGCAAGAAAGAAAGAGAAGTGGGGTTAAGATAATAGTGAAAAAGAAGATGCTCTGGAAGGAAAGACGAGCAATTTCGATGAGGAATCGAAATCTTGACAGAATTTTGGAGGGGAAAAGGCGAAATCATAAAAAGGAATGGCAGTGAAATCGTTTCCTTTTAAAACATATTTGCAATGCAACAAATCTTTTAATGGGTTCTTTTTTGTGCGTGCCTGAGATTGGACATCCGCAAAAAGAAGAAAAGAACAAAACTTTTATAGCCAACTTTTGAAGAAATGAATCTGAGTCGAGTCTGAGGTTAGAGTTAGAGAAGAAAAAGGCTGTTCATGAAATCTAGAAATCTAATTTTTTTTTTTTTTTTTTTCCGCTTTCCTATCTGGGCGCAGTGATGAAGAGGGGAATCACTGATCAGATAGGGGGGGAAAAGGGAGAATGCAATAGCGCAATTAGCCCTGTTTTTCGATGAAATTACGAGGCGACCTTCCTATCTTTCTTTCTTTGTTTTTTTTTAATTATTTAATATTAAAAAAAGGGAGTTTCAGAAATTCTTATTTAAAATATATTATCTAATAAATATTATTTTTTGAGATCTAATTAATATTTAAAAATATAATTAATAAAAAATTAAGAATACAAGTAAATAATATGAGCTTTTTTTTGTGTGTGTGTGTGTGTTTTTAAATAAAAATTTCGTTATTTTCATCAAAATAAGTAATCATTTTAAAAGAGTAATGGAAATGGTTCTTCCTAAAGTCTCTTTAGTCTTGACATAAACACATCCATCTTTAATTAAATAGAAGAAAAAGTTTAGAAATTATAAACTGAAAAAGATTTTCATGAGTGGGAGAGATCCGTAGAAGAGTGAAGAAACACATGATTTGGTCACGTGTTCTTTATAATAATAATAATTATTATTATTTTGGCTTTAAATAAAAGCGAGCATGTGTTTTTGGTTCGTGGGTTACGATGGAGATAAAAAGGTTCTGTTTGGCATAACAAGTACCTTTTTTATTAGTTAAGTAAAAGGGTCTATTCCAATTGAATTCACTGCTCTGTGAAAAATATAGATCAGAGGTTAAAGTTTGAAAGGAACTGAAACCCTGATGAGAATAATTCCCATATAATAATAGTAGTAATGTATTTGAATCTTTCATTAAAATAAAAAAAAAAAAAAAAGAGGAAATACAAACACTTTTATAAAAAAATAAAATAAAAATGTAATTTTCCAACTTGACACGATTGGCTTTAACATGAAAACAAAGTTTAAAGAGAAAAGAGAATCAGACGTTGTCAACCAAAACAAATTCGTCCAAGAAAAAGAAAAAATAGACCCAGTAAACTGTATTCACCCTACATTGCAAAAGAAGAAAAAAAAAACCAATAATATTCCATCCTATCTTTTTATTTATCCTATGATGTTCTCGTTTAATTTTAAAAATTTATTGACTCTGGAACTAACCCATAAAAGAGAATAAGAGAGTAGCCATGAAGAAGCAGCAGGCCAGGGATCAGTTTATTATATATTTTGATTCATAGACCTTTTCAATTAGTCTTCTTGGCATATCAACGATAAGCTGGGTTGCTATGATGACTCACAGATAACCTGTCTCTGATTTTCTCATCTCCATCCCATGCAAACTATAATCATTGATATAATTAAGTCCTACAACAAGATGAGAAAATCTTCAAGAAATATGAAGAGACACACCCCGGATAAAGACAGAAAATGCAGGTGCCGGGATGTTTCCTGGAAAAGATGAAAAACTCTCTCCACGGGAAAAACTCTTGCATTTCCATACGCCTCGAAACTTGTCTTCACTTCATTTTGGCAAGACACGTACAGAATTGTCCCTTTCCACAAAGGTGTAACTCTTTTCTTTTTATTTCTTTAAAAAAATTCCCACAAGGCTTGGACCAAATATGCAAATGAACAAATGAAAAAAGATGACAGACTAGAATACTACAACCAGCAAATAAACACGGCATGCTCTTAATCTGACGGTTTTCACTTGAAAAAGAAAGGATTTAATTTTCTCTGGTTCAGAGGGCAACTGAATGTTGGCAAACTATTAACAAATGATACTAACACCCATCTATTGTTCTCGTCAATGATCAACTCTGCATTCACTGTCTCCATTAAAATCAATCCCGCGCTGGGGAATCATCTCAAATAAAAGGAAAAGCCTGTGCACATGAGGACGGTATCACTGTCCACCAATAGAATTTCAACGCCATTATTTTTGAAGGCTCAACCAGCAGCATATGCAATATCCCTCACTTTCTGGTGAATGGTTACTCATCAGATTCTTCTTCTTGCTCGGTTGAACCTGCAGCCACACTAACCAAATATTGCCCAAAGCCTAACATGCATGTTAGGTTTTAACTTATGATTCAACAGACAATTTTCACTTCAACAGCATGTGATATAGATAGTAAAGTGGCTGATTATGTATGCTGAGTATCCAAAGAAGCTTTCTGATGTCTCATTCGGCGCCGGCGATGGGCTCTTTTATGGTTACGGGAGAGTACTTTGCCAGCTGTGCCTGAGGCACCAGGGTGATGAATCTCCTCTGTTGTTGTGTATCCAAAAACACAATCAAAGGGGTCTACCATCAAACCAGCAGTTGAGTTCACCTGGAATGAGAACATATGTTGGATAATAAGATATTACTTTGAGAGAACATGATTAGCAGCCAAACTTCTTTCTACTGCTGCAACTATAACAAGAAAATAATTTCTATTTCAGATAAAGTATAAGAGCTTTCCTAGTGGACAAGACTACCTTCAAGTCCTAGTGCTACTTACATAGCATTCTTACTGGATATACATTAACAGACAATCGATTTTATTTCTAATAAGTTGATTACTAGATGTCACCATTGGTTGGTTTCCACCTGAATCCTAAACTAAATTAGGCATCAATTATTGGCAATGAATGGGGAAACTTCTATCATCTCCGCAGCTGATCACCAAAGTTTAGTATTTTCTAATCCACAGGCCAACAAGTACCCCAGTTTATATAGCTGGAGATCGTTCCTCACCACTCTGGATGACTGCTATGCCTTGGAAAGTCATTCACAAAGGCATAGACACTTTCTCTAATCTTCATATTTGTCACAGATCCTATCAAGCTAAAATCAGTTCCGAGCACCAGATGAATGGTGTATCACTGTCCAGAGAACAAGATAAGTGTTAGTTGTCTACCATGGCCATTATAAACGGTACATCTTTGTCATCTCCACAGTACACAGGGACAATCAAACAGTTTAGTGCTTATGACTTTAATGGCCAGTTGGAAAGATTATGTCTGCATCCATAAATACAGAGCATTAAGCTGGCTACAGTTGCAGCCACAACCTCCCGTACAAGACAAACCTAAGGAAAATGAACCCTTGCTCTCATCGAGGCTGGGGTCCTTGTCAAATTTGTTAACATGTATTGTAACTAATGCTATCCCGTATCACCCATGTCAGCTCGACCTACACTTGAACAGATAACAGAAACTAAACAGGATTTACATGACCTACACCAAGACAACTTTCTGAATTTAACTGCAGAAAATTAATGGAAACGCATATCAACTACTGCATGAGGATACACCTACAAGTTACCAGAAACTTTTTAAGACTGAATACAGAAAATTAATGAAAAACACGAATTAACTGTTGCAGAAGATATATATTTTGATACTAGAGAAAAATCCTTATGTTAGCTTAAGTTTTGCCAAAAAGTTGGATAAAAAGACGATCCATGGCCAGGTTGTTTACAAACTTTTTGTTTGTGCATATTCTCTATTTAGGTTCTGAAAGAGATGAGAGAATATCAACCATGAAGAAAATACAGGACCAATTTTAGCTCCTTTGAATGATCAATTGCTATGCTGATAAGTAAGGAGATTTGTATAGTAGAGGAAAACTGTGTTTCAAGTCAAAAAAGAATCACATGGATATTTTAATTTGAATATGCTTTTTGTACCAAGAAGATGGACAAACTTAAATAGGAAAGAAAAGGCAATAAGGCATGGGTGTTGTGCAACAAAGGTAACCCAACCCAGATTGTGTTTTAGAAATGGCAATAGATGGATACTATAGAGCTAATCCTAAATGAGGTTTTGATGGAGTAATATGAAATGAAATGAGCTTAGTTTGTGTTTAGCTTCATTCGCTCATGTAACTGAATAAGGTGCTTCCATCATATACTAACTCCTTTTGAGAAATATGTAAATGGCTGCCCAAATAAATGAAATTGCTCAGTTAAACCAACTACCCAATTAGGTTATTTCAAATAGTTCCACTTCAACAAAACATACAACAAATGACCAGTAAACATCTCAATTTTGTTTAAAGGAAATAACCAATGTCAAAGATTGAGGAAACAAATTCGACAAGTAGCAATCATTGACAAAGATGTCTACAACATAATGCAATATATGATGTAATAAAAGAAAGTTTGTAATTATTTAAATAATTGAAATGATGTAATTAGAGTTCTATTATAATAGTGATCTCATATAATTAGAATTTTAATAAAATAGTAATTTTTTTATTAATAAGTTAAAAACTCTATAAATATCCCATGTATAACAACTTAAAGGGTGAAAATTAAAATTTATATTTTTTCTCTAAAATCAATATAGTATTAGAGCCAAATAAAACTATTTTATAATTCTAATTTCAGGATTTTTTTTCAAACTCTAAAATAGCACAACTTAAAGGTGAATTATATTTTATAGTGCTTCCTAATAATCTTTTCCAAATAGGATTAAACTAAGAAATATTAAACAAATGTGATTAGGAAAAATTGTCAGTAAGGAAAACATAAACTAAATCCTATATGATTAAACTCCAGCTGAAAATAAAAGCCATATAATAATTAAATCCTAACTTTAGCCATACTATTGCAGTAATTTGTAGATTAGCTAGAAACAAAATTCCGAATCTATTTAGAATTCTAGGTTCATATCAATTTTCCATCAAAAAGGATTAAAAAGTAGAGAAAACCAGAATTTAGAGAAAGAAATGCTTCAACTCTATTCTAATAAATCCTCATTACATCAAATATCTTCATTTAGGCAAAAAGGGATGTCAAAAGATTTGGTAGCGATATTATCAATTAGACAAGTTAGCTCCTGGAGATTGACATTATCTTCTGTTCAACGAGAGGTGACACAAGTTCCCAACTTATGATTAGCACCTCTTTGTTCACCATCTTTGGACCTATGAGACGTGAAGGAAGTTCACCACTTGGATGGCAAATTGACAACTTGCCACCATCTTTGTACCAATCAAGAGTGCAGCCCCGAGTGCCAACTCACCAAAAGAAAAATGAAAAGAAAAGATACAACCAAACGACCTAAATCTAACTAATATGTCCTAAATAATCTATATAACATGGGACATGGAAATACAAAAATTAAATAAATATTATACAATCATTTTCTGACAACAAAGATCATTCCATCTTAGCTGTGTTGTCATTCAGCATTAGGTTACGGTTGGTTTATTAGGTTTCCATCTTGTTGATTAGGAAGCAGCATCAATATTTGAGCATCCAATTTATTTCTTTTTTAAAGAACTTATTTTTCTTTTTATAAATTCTCTACTTGCCCAACCACATTCATATACATTTAAAAGAGTGCTTTCTAATACTTACAGGAACTTGTTTTGGCTCCATACTGTACTTTTTCCCATTAGGGTCATTTTGCATGGTGTTCTGGGAACTGCCATGTGAATCATCAGCATTATCTGTCCTTTTCTCATGAAAACCACTATCAGTAAAAAAGCTCCGGGCACGCCATCTTATCACTGGGTCGTCTGGGTTTGAATCCTCATAAACTATCTCTGAAAAGAAATGCTTGGAGAGAAGTTTCCATCTCCAAGATTCACCCTTATTTGTTCTGATCATACTGTCATTTGAAAAATCATTCATGAAAACAGCACTTAGTGAATGGCGGAAGGTAAAAATCTTGAAACACACCCAAGTCCAGAAAAGAGTGAGGAATTGGAATACTAGAAACATGAAAAGAAGAGAAACACCAATAACAACTAAAAGCATATGTTTTCTTCCTCACATTAAAATCCAGAAAATGTTAAACTAATTTGTATACCTACATTTTGAACAATCATTAAGAATTCTTTCTGCTTATTATTTTTCTGCATATTGAGGAATTAATTATCTCCTGCTTGAATTTATGAATAATAGTGTTATTGTCTAAGATTTGGGTTAGTTTATAAGCGAAGGCAGATGAAAGAAAAAACAGTTGGAAGCGGCAATGATGCTTAGTTTTGTTGGTTAATAGTTTTGTAACATCTGTTTGTATTACCGAAACGTTGTTTTCTGAGTGTACAGGAGCAGTTTTATATGTTAGAAGATGCTATTGTTGGGGAAGGTAGGTGGTTATCTTATTAGAGGGTCATCACTAGCAGTTACAAAACTATAAGAAGCAGTTGTAATAAGTTGTAATATCTGGTACAAAAAAGACCAGACTGGAGGAAATTGAACATTAGATTCCAGACAAAAAACATTGTTTCATTTTTCTTTATGCAATTCAAGAGTTATCTCTAATCAGCCCTAAGGAAAAGCTTATCTAAATAGGTAGAAAAAGCAAAATCCAGAGCAAGAACACCAGTCTGCTTCAGACTTTGTCCTAAAAGGTCTAGTCACAAGATTAAAATCACTAGGACCAATCATTTGGTGCCCAAAGATAATGTCGGACTCATGTACCATCCAACAACAACTAGACATTTATAAAGATGTATCAAGGATTGCACTTGTGATAGTGTTTAAAGCAACCAAGACAAACTCGACTAAGAATCTCGGCAATAATCAATCCTATAGATTGGTTGAACCAGTGTGACCAATTTTTCCTTCATCAACATACACCATGACATGAACAAGCCTGGTTAGCATCCTAATCATCTCAAAGTTATCACTTGATTATGGTTCTTAAAGATGGAACAAGATCAACCGGATTTATCATAGGAGAAATTTAAGAGTTACTGAATCCGCATTTTGGACCTCCAATCTGTAGCAGCAAGTTTGACGAACTGGCCAAATCACGTCAAGATGGGTCCATTTAGGATTACCAACATCAATCTGAACAGTTGTCGGCACAGGCTGAATCATTAACATCAGAACAAGAGGTGCAACTCTTTATCAGAGGACTCCAAGAATATATAGTAATTGAAGTTTACTGCAAGCACCAGGAAATCTCACTTCTGCCATGGGTCTTGCGCACTTCTGTAAGGGGAGAGGAAGATCAAGTTAATATGTTAAGACAAAACTAGCAGTGACATAGAAACAATTAGTTTCTTCTTCCAACCAAAAGTATCAGCTCCAGTTCCTTTTGTGAAGTGTCTTTCCTGAGCAGAGATGCAAGACAGGAAAGCCCATGGACAATATTTCACTTGGGGTGAACGATACATTGTGAGCTATTGGTGCAAAATACTCTTTTGGTTAGGAAGCATAAATGAATTAGTCCTTCAAGATTCAGACGATCAAAGTGATTTCGCCCCTAAACTTTCACAGTTTGAGTGGATTGATGGCCTGTAATAACAAGGATAGGAATCTTTGGTTCCTACATCAAACCCTCTGTTCTGGGTCAGAAAATTCCAATTATAATCAATTTTGTAATTACTCATAGTTTTATTGATTCTTTCCTTGTGTAAGAAATGGGAAATTCCATTGGATGAGGTCGTTGCTGCTAATGGGGAAAGATTGTGAAGCTTGGGTGTGTGTAAGACAGCTTGGTGCATACAGGAAGTCATTTATTCTCTGCTAATCTCCTTTTGTTGCCTTTAGGTGGGTTTGGAATTATTCTGGGAGTCAACTAGTTATGCACGCTGCATTCCATAAATTGGGATTTCAATTTAATGCAAATGGCATTTCTCCACACGGATCAGGAAGTAGAAATATTTGGGGCAAGAGATTCCAGTTTTTATTCGTCTGTTTTGAGATCAACAATTTTGATAGCAGTGGACTGACAAGTAGAAAAGGCGTGCATATTGTCAATTTCTTCTCCATTATTTGTCAATCATTTTGATTTGCCACCATAACAATTTGTCATTCCTTTTGGTTTGTCACCATAACAATTGCACGACCACCAATTACCACTAATAGCAAGGTAGGAACCAGCCTACTGGTGGCTCGCCATACTGTTACCCCCATTTGCATAAAGATTAGATTGAGCATCAATGTGCATAGAAGCAAGCACAAGGGGCAATATGACCAAGTCAGTCTCCTTTTTCCTCTCCAATTCTATTGGTCGAAAAATAATATGATATGATTATTGAGCTTTGAACGATAAAAAAGCCAAAGATTAGTTTTTAATCCTAGTTATTGTAGAAAATCTTAGAATAAGAATAGTTTAGTATTTACTATTTTTACACAGGTGGAATGTCCACCATCACCACCAAAAATTGGTTACATTTGTTGCTTATTTTTTTTTTCTCTGTTTTTCTCTCATACCCTCACCTTTGGCGTGACATCAGGGCAATGAGTGCCAATAAATATCACCTTACTTTCTCTGTTTTAAGCAAGCAAAGAAAGAAGAGAAGAACCTCTCATTTTATCTCTCTCAAACTCTGCTTCCATTAAAATCTTCATGGTATCAAAGCGCCTCTGATCCAGAAATCTCCTTCCGCTTGCGCCAAATTCTTCAATGGCCACAAATGACCGAAACTCTTTATCACCCGAAGTTATTTCGGGTACGTATCTCCCCAACTCCATCAACACTGGAATGGTGGAGTAACATTTATCGTTCATCGCCAGCCATCGACTCAATAGCGATAATTACATCCAATGGTCGATGTTTGTGCAGCTATTCATCTGAAAAAAAGGACAGATAAATATCTCACGGGAGAAGCTCCAGAACCTCCATCAAATGACCCCCATGCTCGGACTTGAAAAATTGACAACAGCACGGTCATTACCTGGTTGCTAAGCTTCATGACTCCCGAAATCAATGAAAATTTCCTCTTGTACGAGACAACTCACGAAGTCTGAGAAGCTGCTTGTGAGTTTTACTCTAGCCGCGAAAACACTTCAGTAATTTTCGAAATCGAATCCATTATCCACGAGCAGCGGCAAGGTGAGCTTAACGTTATTCAATATTATAACTCTCTCATCCGCAACTGGCAGCAACTCGACGTCTTCGAAGATCATCAATGGAGCTGCCCAGAAGATACTAAGAAATACAGAGAAATTGTGGAGCAAAAAAGAATCTTCTGATTTCTCACGGGGCTCAACAAAAGCCTAAATGAAGTGCGGGGCCGAGTTCTAAACACGAAACCACTTATGGGTATTCGTGAGATCTTCTCTAAAGTTCGGCGAGAAGAAACCAGGAAGAAATTGATGTTGGGAGAGCCTCAGTCGACTCAGCTGAGTGAGAATGCTTCTGCTCTTACTTCTCGCGTATCTGATTCCCATAAAAAGAAAGGGCGTCCGTTCTGTGAGTTCTGTAAAAAGTTAGGGCACGTTAATGAGAAGTGCTGAAAGCTTCATGGGAAACCAGGAGAGAAGAAGATCACCGAGACACCTCACGGAAACTTGGCAACTTCGGAAGAGCCCTCTGTTAAGCCCGAGATTGCTCCCTTCAATCTAGAATAAATGGAGGCATTAGTGAAACTTTTTTCGTCGAAAATGGGAAGTCTGAGTAATTCCTCTGCCTCTATTGCCCAAAAAAATAAATACCATTTGGTTTATCAGCATGGTTCCAAAAAAAAATCATATTTGGATTGTAGATTCTGGGCATCTAACCATATGACAGAAAATCAATCCTTGCTCTATGATTATCTTGAATATAAAGAAAATTTATTAATTAAGACTGCTGATGGTTCAAGTTCTAGAGTGGCAAGAATTGATTCCACAAAAACATCATCCTACTTGACACTCAACTCGGTTTTTTATGTGCCTAATTTGGATTGCAATTTATTGTCCATAAATAAATTGTGTAAAGACATAAATTGTATAATGAAATTTGACAATCATTCTTGTGTATTTCAGAACCTGGTTTCGAAGAAAACGATTGGCAATGCTATGATGGATTCAGATCTCTACTATCTTGCAGTTGACCCCCCTACCTCAAGTAGACAAGCTTCTAATGCTGTATGTGTTAATTCAGTTTCTATCGATTGTTCAATCGATGATCACACAATTATATTATGGCATTATCAATTAGACCACTCAAACTTTTTGTACTTAAAGCAATTATTTCCTATTTTATTCAAGAATAAAAATCCACTTTCATTTCAATGTGAAGTGTGCCAATTTTCAAAACACACTCGCAATTCTTTTCCTAATATACTATATAAACCTGCACAACCATTTGCTCTAATCCATAGTGATGTTTGGGGAACTTGATGAGTTAAAACTATTACTGAAAAAAAATAGTTTGTATCTTTTATGGATGACCATACTAGAATTACCTGAATCTTTCTTATGAGGAAAAAGTCTAAAGTGAACCAAATATTTCAAAAATTTAATACTATGATTCAAAACCAGTTTTACACCACAATACAAGTACTAAAAACCGATAATGCATGTGAATACTTTAAATCCACCCTAGGAGAATATCTTAATAATTAAGGTATCCTCCATCAAATATCTTGTGTATACACCCCACAACAAAATGATATAATCGAAAGAAAAAATAGACACATTCTTAAAGTTGTCAGATCATTGATGTTTACAACCCATGTTCCTAAATTTTTGTGGGGTGAAACCATTCTTACCGCTACCTACTTGATCAATCGAATGCCCACTCGGATACTAAATTTCAAAAATCCTTATAAAGCTC